CTTCCAAACGCTCTTCAGTCTGAAAATCGTGGGCTACCCGGTTCGCTTTATTTGCACGTTTTTTACCTCGGCTTTGGTTTACCTGCTGCTAGTGATACTCTGTGCAATCTACAATATATACATATATATAGCTTTGGCGTGGGACTATTATAACTAATATAACTAGTAGCTGAGCTAAGCAATGACAGAAGGGAAACAATACCTTCCCAAATAGGCCCAGAAAACAAGAAACATTCAAACCACTTCAGAATAGCAGAGAGCCAAGCTCAGTTCAGAAGATGAATTCATAAAACGCTTTTCATAGAGTTGCCCAGGTCTGAAATCACGCTCTTAATTCTGGCATGTCACCATCGAGACAGAACGGCAACTCCACAATTTTTAAGTCTTCACAAGTGCCGTAGAGTATTCACAATATTTTCACCATGAAAACACTGGATGGTTTTTGGAAGCCCAGGGCCAGAATTTGTTGGACTTGGGCAATTAACAGTGGCTGACCTCACAGTAGGATTAGTTGCCTTATCAAGCCACACGGAAGCAAACAGAAGATTTCACCAGGGAAAACAGCTGTTGCAAGCTGAAGGACGAGTTTGGAGGAGCACCATGCCTACATGGCGAGAGAAGAAAGGGTTCCCTTCCTTGTAGCTCGCTGTTGTGGCTTAACAAGCTAGCGTGGAAGATAGTGTTGAAATCAACCACAACAGAAGCAGCACATCTCCAACTGGTTTTGAACAGACCAGCTTTACACAAGAGAGGGCGAATGTTTTGTTGCCTCCTTGACTGTCAGAACTGACAAACAGTTTAATGCATCTATCTGCTTCACACCATGCTTCCCTCCCTGCAGCACTAAAAGAAGAGAAACCTGTCAGCTACAGTAAGGAACTGATGAATTCCTTCAACCACCGGTTAGTCAGCTGAAAATAATCTGCCCAAACCCATTTTGTTGCCATTTCTGAAGTTATTGACATGCAATGTGAAGCTTAATTGAGTGCTAAATAGTCTAGGACATTGTGTACCTCAGAGAATTACTGCATTAATAGATA